TGACCTAAATTGTGGAATTTCACTTTTGAATTTGAACCCTCAAAACATGATAGGGGAAGTGCATTAAGGAARGAAATATGTCTTTATATTATGGTAAGTGGGAATAATGAGTATACCTTTGTCTTTTGTCTGAAAATAAAGGAGTTATTTTCTGGTTATCAGTTTAAACTAATTTCCTAGAAATTGAAATAAACAATATTAAAAAATGCACAAATGCACACACACAAATACGCAGAAAACCTTTTTTCTGGTCCATTTGCAGCAGTTTTAAAGGAGGAAGAGAAAGCGAATAGTCCATGTTTCCGCATGAAACTCTCTTCCCTTRGCAAAGACACTGATGAGACTTACATTTTTCAGATATTCCGAAGAAGGTGTTTATTTTACTTCTTTGTAACCTGACATCATGGCCCAGTAACATTTTAAAAAAATATATAAAAAAAACACTTTCAATGAGAGATCTGTTCAGTGTGAGTTCAGATTAGCTGGGCAGGTAGGTAAGACTRGTAAAAAGGCTGTTTGATCCTGAGCAGATACATATGCATGAGTGTATGTATATGTGTGTGTGTATATACTCACAMACACGTAAATATATATGTAGTAGATGAATTTGAGAGGAGAAAAAAAATGTGTCCAAACTCCCTTCTTCTAACGTCTTGGAAGATTTTCAGATGCTATACGTTCTCTTTAAAAATTTCAGTGTAACAAGCTGTGCCGAAGAATGATCTGAACAAGTATCTAGAGGGATATATCTTTYAGTATTTGGAAGAACAAGTATCTAGAGGGATATATCTTTTAGTATTTGGAAGCCTCCTGAAAGTGAAAGAATTGTTAAATCTATTAAAGTATTTGTCGCTGGAAGGTGCATAAATAACTTACTGTTTTGGATTTGGGTGGGAGTAAAGGGAAGGTGAATTGAGTAATGCTGAAATAATGAGCAGTAATATTGAAGTAATGTGTTGGATGCACAGTGCGTGATGCGGGCTGCTGCGACTCGGTACCTTCATGGCTTGCAGCTAAATGTGGTTATGCACATTATTCATAATTTAGGGCTTACTGGCCTGCCGTTCCCTGAAAATGTAAAATGTCTTTTAAAATGTAATATCACAGAGCTAAATGAAAGGCCAGCTCAAAATACATTAAGCAAAAAGGCTTATGTAGCTTGAAATCGGTAAGCTTGTTTTCACTGCARTAACATTGTAATGTTGTTTCGGAGTGGCTGAAAACTGCCTCAAGAGAGGAGTGGGAATGCCCTGCTACCCACATRGCAGGGGGTCACCTCATCTAAAATTAACCTTATAAAAGGGAGCTGTGGGGACTCCCTTCCAGCACGGCATCCACACAGCTTATAGGGAGGTACCGGCCTCGCCACCAACCGTCATCCTGGGTGACTTCCTTGTGACGTGAGTACCTCATCCTCCTCACTGGGTCTTCTCCTGCAGGTCAGCCCTGGCTGGTTTTGGTGTGGGCACTTGCTCAATGAGGCTTCTACACAACAAGAGGTGCCCTGACACCTTGGCCCCATGCCCAACATGTTTGGCCCTATGGATGAYCACCAGATGCCTCAGTCTCGTGCCCTTTGTGTTTGACCCTATGRATGACCATCTTGGCCTTTGCCTGGTCTAGCCGAGTGCTGCTGGCACTTGGCATCTCAGACGTGACAACAGGGTTTGGTGGCTACGTTGTCCCGTAGGCCCTGTAGCCGTGGTCAAACCCGACCCCGCTGCYGGGTGCAGATGAGGTCATGGCTTGGGGTGCTCGTTCCTGAATGCGTCCTCTGTCCGCTCGTGTTTACTGCGRCCTGAGTGACAGCTCGTTTGCTTCCCTACTCAGTGCTCTCAGAATTTAATTTATTGTGTTTAAATTTTTCTGTAGAGATGTCATGGAACTGCACTGAATTAGCATCTCTGTAAGACCRACCAGTTCCTGCATTTTTGAACACTATACTTCTAGTCCCACCAGAGGAAGGGTGTCATCAGGCTCTGAATCTCAGCAGCGCTTRTACACACAGTGTTTCCTCTTGAATGAACTGTCACGTTTCATTTTGCGTTAGACAGATCAAAGCAGAGTTTAGAATAATAATCTTATTTACAGCTACTTGAGTAAGAAACATTTCACGTTACAGGGGCACGCTCCAGAGAAAATGCCAAGCGACATAAATGCTATAACACTGCCGTACCGTTGTCTGAACRCATATTAGCAATGAACTTTATGGAAACACTCATCAGCTTTTAATCAGCTGCTTTCCCTCCTGGTGTGAGCTCGGGCAGGTTCGCTCTCCTTAGCTAACCTCGTGCTGCGTGGTGCTGCAAGGGGCTCCCATCTTCTCTCCCTGTCCATCAAAAGCCTCCATGGTGCCTGATGCACCTTCTTCGCTGAGAGGGAGGTACAGAGTTTCATCTCTGTCCACCAGGAGTCCATCATCCATCAGATACTTTAGTAAGACGTGTTGATGGCTTTAACCCAGCTGGTCTGAAAAGCAGCTTTTCCATTTTTCTGGTTATGCATGTGGATGAAAGCAATGTCCTTGGACACAAGCAGGTCCTCTGCTCTGCAGCAGCCTTGGCCAGACTTGTCGGCACACTGGGGCATTTGACTGGCATCGTCAAACCTAAATCTCTTCCACGTGTATTTCTGAAAACTAGGGTAGTTACTACCTCATATCTAATGTTCCTTTAATATCATTCAGTTGTCTCTAATAAAGACAAGCTCTTTACAAGCTCTTTTCATTTTTGGCCAGTGATAGGACAAGGGGAGATGGGCATAAGCTGAAACACRGGCAGTTTCATCTCTATGAGAAGAGGAACTTCTTTCCTGTGAGGGTGCCAGAGCCCTGGCACAGGCTGCCCAGGGAGGCTGTGGAGTCTCCTTCTCTGGAGATCTTCCCAAGCCGCCTGGATGCCGCCCTGGGCCCCGTGCTCTGGGTGTCCCTGCTGGAGCAGGGGGGTTGGACTGGATGATCTCTAGAGGTCCCTTCCAACCTTGAATATTCTGTGATTCTGTGATAAAATACACTTACTACGAAGTCGTTTCATTAAGAGACGATGGGTGGTGCAATGGATGGGCTGAGCAGTGTTGGAAAAGCCCTGCCGTAACCAGCAAAAGAGGTGTCACTACTAACATGGTCTGGGCATTGGTCTGCACAAGGGATTCCAGTTTGGTGAGGCTAAGGAACATGAAGAGAGTGTAGTGCTCAAAYATATTTACACTTCAGATTTATTTTACATGGCGTTACACCAGATCAAAAGTACCCTGTCTAGAAAAAATAATAATCTTCTTTTCCTTGTCTCTGGACCCTCTTATTGACTCTCTGAGATGATTTCTTTTTAGTTTCTGCATGGTAGGTCATGACAAATGCTTCAAAAAAACAGTCCTATCTGTGCTTGTTCTCGGTCTGTTTTCTGCCARTATTTGCAAGACTGTTGTTTGCCATAGCGAATACTAACAGCAATTAATATAATCACACCAGTGAACTTTGCTTCCTGGTGGCGTAGATCTGTCCAAGGCAACCTGAGTAAGCTGGGAAAACCTGCTCAGCAAGTTTTCCTGCCCAGTGAAYTTGGCTTTTCCCTTCCAGCTTCATTTTCCAAGGGTCCGGTCATCGCGCCCTGCATCCCTGAGGCGACTGAGCCCYGTGGTGGTGGCACCTGTGCTGCCCTTAGGAAAATGTCACCTTCATTACTCTATTAGTAGCCTAGCTAGCCTAGCTGATTCTCCTAGCTAGTAGCCTACCTGCTGGGCATTTCCCTTTCTCCAAATATATTGCACAAGATGGCATGAAATTCCTGTGGAGAGATGCTTCGTGCTCAGGATCACAACTCGAAACCCAGCCTGTCCTACGTGAAGCRTTTGGGAACTTGGTCTGTCACCAGGATATGGAGACCAGGCACTATCCTGACGAACCTGAGGGGCTGGAGGCCAGGGGAGCCACTGTGTGCAGCAGACAGCCTGCTAGCACAGGGCACTTGTCAGAGATGAGGAGTCTGGGCTTGGGTTTGTCCCTCAGGTTCAACCCACTCGCTGACTTGAGCTGCTAATGCGTTGTTCTATTACTGCTCTTTCTTTTTGCTTTACTAATTATTTACCCKGTGAAAAGCTAGGTTGAGAGCAAGGTCACTTGTCCCGGCTGTGAGCAGGAACATGGATGTGGGTTTCAGCTAACTGCGGAGCTTGGGCTGCCTAATGGGTCATTAATTATTCTGAAGTGAGCGGAGATGGCCTTTTCTCAGGACATCTATTGAGTTAAAATAGGYGCCAGGAACAAAAATATTTGATTTTAGTGCTTGCTGTCTTACACTAAAAAGTGTGTGTCGGGGGGGCGGTTGGTGGTTTTTTTTGCCAAAGTATCACTGGTGAGCCCTAATTCTCGTAATGACTGCATAATATCTGCCGTCAGCATGGATTTAACCAATGTGCTGCTCAGAAGYACCCTGGCAAACAGCAAAGCCATTGCCTCCAAGAGCTGTAACGTTTTGCAAAAACATCTGGCCTTTGTAGAAGAAAGGTTTCTCTGGTGAGAATGGCAACGTTTCCCTCGACTCCTTGGGGCTGGTGGGCAGCTCAGCGTAGCTCGTGCAAGGCTGGAGCCACCTCGGGCCTGGTAGCTGTGCCCTCAGCCTAAACCCATGTGAGACCAAGGCCTGGGCCTTGAACGAACGCATCTGTGCCTGGCAGACAGACCAGAGCCTTGCGTTGTGTGTGGTGGGTCTGCCTGTGAGCAGGAGGGTTGGACTAGATGATCTCTAGAGGTCCCTTCCAACCTCAACCAGTCTGTGATSTGTGAGCTTGGTCTTGCCTGAGTCTGAGGTGTCATCCAGGGAGGGCCGGTTATCCTCCTGGATAGGCCTGTAAGTTTGGCTGGAGAATCCGCTGAATTTGTAAATGGCATCCACAGTGTTGTTTGCTGGACAATATTTTAGTCTGATTAATTGTTCTGTCACTTATTCTAAGTATTTGTGTTTTTCTGCAGTGTGTAACCTTAGGTTTTGGTCTCTTCTTTGCAGCAAAGGGCTCCAGGGAAAGTTCTGCATGATGCYGTCTGCAACCACCTGAACCTTGTTGAAGGTGACTACTTTGGCCTTGAGTTTCCTGATCACAAAAAGATGATGGTATGTGAAAAGGGATCATTTTCAACTGCTTTTCATTTGTATGCACGCGGTATTCTTCCTTCTTCTCCTTACTTAAAAAGTATATTTAAGTCTGAATCTCCAAGAAAATAGAACCTTATTTTTCCTTTTTTTTTTTTTTTTTTAAAGTGCTCATTCCTGCAGGAGTCAAAGAAATGTTTTTAGAACCTGATGACTCCTTTCAGGTTTCATCCATGTTGAAAGTACCAGGTAATTCAGACATGAGAGGGAAAGCAGTTTATCTCCAATAGGTTGCACCAGAGAAGCCAAAGGCTGGTTGGGCACAGGGCACAGAGCTGATTTGYGATCTTTAACAGCCTGCTTAATTTGGAGTGCAAAGATAGATAGTGAAATCWTGCTCCATAAACTGGGCAAGTTGCAATAGCTGTGACACACTTCCACAAGAAATGTAGTGGGACAAGAAGACACATAAGATATAACAAAAAAAGGAAAACAAAATGATGAAAGCGCTGTCTGTAGAGCAGAGGGCCACGGGCAGGTGTGCAGGTCCTGGCCCAGCACACCCTGAGCAGGTGCCTGCAGCCTGCACACACTGCATTAACAGTTCTGGGGTAGAAACAGGCTCACGTAGGAGGAGCAGTGACCTCTTCCTTCTTTTTCTGAAGTTTGTTTCACTGCAGATTTGCTGTGTGACCTTCTGGTGTATGTGCTGGCTGCCTGCGTTGCTAGGCCAGTGCATTCAGGTACATACTGGRTTTCATTCCTGGTCAGTGAGTTCTGCACCAGTTGCCTGGTTGACCTAAAGCAGATGACTTTGAACAATTAAGGAAAAAAAAAAAAAGAAAGGGTCTTAGGATCTTTGAGTGTAGATAGTATTTCTGTAAGGAACAATATTTCTTAACTGAAGACAAAAGAGGATTTATTCACTTCTGCATAATCTGTTGTCAGGCAGTAGTGATCACATAGTTTGAGGTCAACTATAATTAAAAGGGAAATTGCAAAAAGAGTTTTCAGCCTTTTAAAAAGTGATCCATTTCAGTTTGCTCCTGGATTTACATGAARCACAGTTTGCTAGAAAATTTCCTGCTCTGCCATACATCCTCAGTGAACTCTTCAGATAGCTAACAGCTGAACAAAGCACTTCAAAACAGTGTGCCTGTACAGTGCTGTCACACYAGGGTCCCCATTAACACAGACAAACGGACCTTACAGACAAATCCTAGCGTCCTGTGCATATACAGCTGCTCCTCAGCTCCAGAACAGGAGGATACCTTTGCTCTTCAGCTCCAGAACAAGAGGAGAGCAGGTCATCTGGTCTGACCATCTCCATTTCACAGGTCATCGCRTTTCAGCTGAGTGACCCTCTGTTTTGCTCAGCGCCCTGAGAGAGGGGAACAGGTTTTGGTCTTGTGCAAACAAAGTGGTTTATTTGCTCGAGACAGAAGCAGGGGAGAGACTGAGGTTCTGCCAGCCCTTGCAGGCCCTTGCAGTGGCCAAGATTTGACCATGTGGAAATAAGTCCAGATGATCCCAATGGGGGAACCAGGGCTCTTGGATGAAGAGGAGGGCAGAAAAACCCAACTGCTATTGCCATTTTGCCCTAAAAGAAACCTCCTCCACACATCCAAGAGGGTGACCCATCTGCCCTGCCCTTGGGGTAGCAGCAGCCGAGCGGGTGCACGTGCCAGTTGACGTGTGTCTGCCCTCACCTTTGCTTCTGGGAAAGGAGGAGGTGCCCAGATCTGGCCCCCATCTGGCCAGCTGTGCCCCAAGCCTGGTGCACGTCAGTGGGCAGGATACAGTCAGCTCCCTAAGAGCAGAGCACAGGAGCTCTGAAGTGTGAGATTTGGCTGTGAGTGATGGTTTCAGTGGAGGACTACACCAGCGTGAGCCATATTTACACTTAAGCTGTAATGCCAGTTTGTACGGTGCAGGGGAGATAAATGTTCCTGTGGGGTTTAAAACTTCCCGAGCTTCTTGCTGGCTGTAATGCAGAACGTGAGCATCGGGCATGCTAGAGAATTTGCAGCTAATTGTGCATCTAAGAAATAAAACATACACGCATATTTTACTGTGTATGCTTTAAATGGGCTGAATTGCTGCTCTTCCAGCATACCGAGGTAAAAAGAAAAAATAATAACTATTTGGAGTGTATTTGTTGGGATGTTATCATGCGTGAGGTATGATATTCACAGTTCAGCTGAGCTTATTCCAGCACGCAGGGCTGCAGACCCGCTCCTGGGCATGCTGGCAGGGGGATGTCGGGATGCCTGGCAGCTGTACATGTGCCAGAGGGCTGCAGGTGGAAGGGAGAAGACCTGGAGGGTCTGAGCACTGCCCCAGCAAGGAGAAGTGAGGCACGGTGCTCAGGCCTGGGATTTTACAAAGAGTCCCCACACTTGATGGAGGCCCGGATTCCTCTGCTGCTGGAATCCGATCACTGTCAGAGTCTGACACAGTCTGACTTTGCTTAAAAAATAAATAATCGAGCCTTTTTAGTCCCAGAGGAGACTGAGGTCATGAATCCAAATTTGAATCCCCACGTTATTTCTCATTTCTAGTTTAAAAACCATCCTCAGAATGACTCTGTATAGACTGAGAGTGGGAACTGCAAGGTGCTTAAGTTTCAATTGCTTGGGTTTGATGACACTGATAAGTCTTGTTTTTGCTCCACATTCCTCCTTCCTCCCCACACACATGCAGCGTGTACATTACTAGTGTCCAGCAATCTGGTAAAGGATGTTCTAACTTGCTTACAAGGGAAAGCAGAGAAAGGAACAGTGCACAAATGTGCTTGTGTTATATCCTATACCTCCCAAGGAGAGAGAGAGGATAAGACTTTGTTCAATCAAATAAAATATATGACTTCCACATTCATGTAAACTGGCTGTTTCCTATTCAGGATATTTTTTTCTCCCCTAAACTTGGCAAAGCTGCTGACCATCATAGCAGATTAGGTACATGCCAACTTTCTGAAACAAAACAGTTTAAAAATACTGAGTTGCCAAAAAGTGTCAGAAGCAATTAAACAAGCGATAAACTCCATTTGCCTGTTCCCGGACAACAAAACTCCTTCAAAAAAAATCACTTCCAGAGGCTGAGAAACTTAAAACAATTCCATTGAGAAACATGAGCAAGGCTAAAAGCGCAGGAATGTGAGGTCTGGGCTAATTGGAGATACTGTTCAAAGTACCTCGCCGGTATGGGAACTATGGAAATAGCAAACAACATCACAGCAGTTGTAACAGGAAAAGATGCCTGTTTCTGTCTGGCTGCTTGGATGATTTTGTACGATGGAAATTTTGGGTATGTTTCAGTCTCTGCATAATCTAAAAATCAAGGTCAGAAATGTGGCATAATCTAAAACTCAAGGTCAGAAATGTATTCATTTTTATATGTATATATGTGAATATATATATTCTTTTACATATAAATATATATTCACATATACATATATATCTTCCAGGAGGAAGACTTGGTTAATTTGTTTTTTAATGGTTTTAACCTTTGTGAAGGTTGTAGGATGTTCCTCCCCAAATTCTAGATGTCTCCAAGGAAGGCTCCATGCAGTACAGCGAGATAACAAAATACAAATCCTGGGTTTAGTTATCAGCTGAGCTCTGTGAGCTGTCACACTCCTTCAATCCCCATAGGTTGTTTGGCTTTTATCTCCCTCAGCTTTCTGTAAGCTGTGYGAGGAGGAGCAGTGATTTATCCAGACCCTTCCAGCTAAGACTGCTGTATGAGGCTGTAGGCCCTGGTCATGGTATTTCCATCTATTGCTTCCCTTTGGAAAGCTGGGGAAAAGACCCACACAACTTCCTCAAAAAATGGTATGTTAAAAAAGAGATGAAAATAAAGCATTTGCAGAAGTTACACTGCACCCAGTGTGCTTAGGAAAGCCCAGATTTATGGAAGGGAGAAAATAATGGGCTGCTGAGGAGTCAGCTTTCTTTCCCCCTTTAAGCTGGGCCTGCCTTGTGCTCTTGACCATCAAGCACCTCGTCCTTTCTGCAGGTAGCAGTGACAAGAATCCTTAATCTCCTTGGGATGATGTGGGGATCTCCGCATCAACATCAAGCCTCACCAGAGGACTCCTTTGGAGACCCAACACCAGGAGACTGTTGTTGTCTTCTCATTTCTCTATTTGCCMAACACTCCCAAAGCAAAGGCAAATATCAGCCCCTTCCTGTTGCCTTTCTGTAGGTTAATGCAGGTGCTGCTGTTGGCTTATGCTGGTGCTGGCTCAGGCCTCCCCGGCGGGGGCATCCTGATGGTATTCTTGAGGGCCACAGTGGCAGCATAGGATGTCCCTTCATTTCTTGTTTCAATTTCCTTTGTGCAAATTGACTGGATAATGGCCTAACTTGCCATGATTGCTGCTGCCTGAGATAGATAGGCAAAGGGAAAATCTCTTCCTTGCTGAATGCTGTTTTCCCAGTGCTCTGGATTTTTGCTGCTTCACAAGCTCCATCCTGGAGCAGTTAAATAAGTAAATGAATAACCAAAGCAAAACAGAGATTAGTTTCTTCAGAGATGATAACACCACTTTCTTTTGGTTTTAGGTGTGGCTCGATCTTTTGAAGCCTGTTATGAAGCAGATTAGAAGTAAGTACTTCCTTGCCGTCATTCTTTCTACCCATCTGAGAATAGCTGAATGAATGAGGTCTCTGTCAACTGGTATCATTATCTTCTCAATTTTCTTTACTGAATTGTGTTGGGGTTGTTTTTTATCTCAGTTCTGGCCTTAAAAGCTGTGCTGTGTTTGCTGTCAAATTATGTCGCAGCAACAAATTCTACAGAGCACGTAGACATCAATCACATCTGGTTTTGCCTTTTCTCCTGAAGGGTATAAACCAGTAGTGGGTTTTGGAAGGCTTAGTCAGTCACTAGAAGCATGGGCTTGAGGCAGTGATATCAACACATTTAAATACTGAGGAAGAAAAAGCATGCARCAAAAGAAACACACATTGCTGAAAGGTAGCAGTAATCAGGAAGAAGAAAAAAGAACCAGAAGAAGAAATTAATGGGAAGAAACCAGCCTGTATATTACAGCTGCCCGGGGCATTGCCACAGAACTTGGAGCTATCTTAGACCAAGAGGAGAAAACTGTTGACTTAAAGAAACCAGGGCATGTCATGGTGGGTTGCTGGAGAGGAAAGGGTCCTGTAAATATTCAGCACCCTTGGGAGGAGTAGCAATGAACAGGAAGGGTTTTGATGATTATTTAATTCTTTATCAAATGTCAGCAAAGTAGTTCATTTATGGACATGTGCTCTGGAGATTAGATTTTCATGGGCACCTTTCCAGAGCACATGAYCAGATATAAACCAGTCATATTAGTAACAGTGGATTCTATGGAAACTCTCCTCTGACAGGAGAGAAGCACCCTGTTCCCTTTGTCATTGACCATATTTGTAGGAGTCCAAACAATTGTGCTGCTATTAAGGTAGAAATAATATTTTGATAGTGGACTTGAAAAAAAATAGTCTGTTTTGGTACCCTCCTTTTCAAAACCCAGGTATTACATTTTCGTGGGCCAACTGATACAGTGACTAAAAACAAGCTTGGTTTTGGCAGCATATCCTTTCAGGAAGTCACTGTTCTCTTTTATTGTGCATAAATGTATTTTGCCATTTTTGAGACTATCAAAGATACTAACACAGGATGAAGGTCAGCATGTACCCATGCACTGCATATTCCACCAATCATTCATTGCACATCATTCTGTATAGTCAAATGTGCCCAGCGTGTTACAAATATATCACTAATTTCCTTTGACATTTCTCTAGGACCGAAGCACGTTGTGGTAAAATTTGTGGTAAAATTCTTCCCACCTGACCACACTCAGCTGCAAGAAGAACTGACAAGGTTAGTATTTGGGTAACTGGATTCTTCTAATCTCCAGTGGACAGCGGGGAGAACGTGGGATTTGAGGTGACTGGGTGACAGTCAGTGTCTCTCTCTCAGTACTAACTTGCTGCTATTCACACAACTATTGAATGCAGTTGGAAAAAGGAGCAGAAGATGCTGTTGTGCTCTGTGCTAACAGGTTCTGCAGTGCACAGGAGTTTTTGGCTTCCTTGGATATTGAGGAGCTCTGGAGAGCTTTGCCTTCCTCAAGGGATGACCATTCTGAGCCCTCCAAGCCCCTTTGGGAATAGTGTTGAAGGGTCCTGGGCTGAACCTCGTGCTGGTGCCCTAGAGAGCTCCGCTTGCTGAGGGACATGTGTGAGCTCCACCCCCAGCTTGGGGAGAGCATTTCCACCTGAACTGACCCAGCATCTGGGCACCCTCCCCATAGGGCTAACGCAGACACCAGAAGTTTGCGTGGGTGGGAGTGTGGCTTCTGAGACGGAGAAACGCAAAGATGTGGCTGAAAATGAAAAGTAGAAGAAAAATATGAATATGAAAAATCAAAAGTAGAAGAAAAATGGAGATGAGCATACATGTATGCAGAGAGAGTACCTTAACGGCATGTCAGTGCTCTTCAGTGCTCTTAAAAAAACTTGATTTAAACTCTAAATTTCACACTGTAGGCACAGATAGAAGAGTCATAATTCTGTATGAGTGAACAGGTATTTGAGAMACCTGTTAAAAAAGTTCTTCCTCACTAGCAGATTCTTTTTCAATCAAACGCATTTTATTTTTTGCTGAAACTTTTCAGCTCTTTTTCTGATCTGTAATTGTTAGCTTTTGTAACTATTTTTTTTTCTGTTCTGATTCTCTATTTTCACTCTTYTTTTAGTTTTTACTTTTAATCCTTSCATAGGTTGAAGTCCTCTTCTACAAAGAGCCCTTGTATCTATAGAATGTGCTTTACAAAGAATATCCTTTCATAAGTTGTCTGCACAAAGAAAGTGTTCTGCATTTATCTCTGTCTTGTTTTATTTTGGTGATAGAGCAATGGAATGGGAAAAAAAAATGATTGATATTGTCTACTGGCCTTGATGTAGGAAAAATGAATGTTTACTTGAAAGGGTGAGGAAAAATAATAAAGGCCTGAATGAAAGCTCGTTATGCTACTGATGAAAAATTTCTGTTTCTGAGTAGGTATTCTGCATGCCAGTTGCTTAGTACGTGCACTGTAAATTGATTTTAGTGGTATGTTTCTGCACCTGGAGACATCTTTTTGAATCTTAATGATTTTTTTGGTTAGATTTTTAAATGTATACGTTAGGGACCTTGAGTGTGTAAGTACACAGCAGTCTGTGGGATATGGAAGCATGTCCACTGGGAAGAGCTTCATTGCTTGGAGAAGCAGTTAACACATGGTTTTGGTACTTTGCTTTCCTGCTAGGGTGAGTTCTGTATGACTAGACAGAGATATCTGTCTCTTAGCCTATCCCCTGATTTCTGGAAAGGAGTAAAAAAGAGGACACCGAGCAAGTTTGAAAAGAACATTTATTGAAATCTGCTGTATTATTTMATGTACAGTGTATGTTGGGTCCTTACCTCAGTACCCACATAGTTTGTAGAAGTCAGATCAAACCAACATGATTTGTGTGCATGCTTTCATATCAGCATGATAAGGATTCAAGTTTCTGTGCTTCAAGTAGAGATGAGAGTTTCCTTTCTTCTGAGCAGAGCATGCTACAGGTGAACACTTCTCATGAGAAAATCCCATCTATGTTATTTGGAATATACTTGTGATTGGGAATGTTTTCATTTTGAACTCAGATGAGAATTGATGACTCARTGGAAAGAAGGCAGTTTTCATCTGGTCAGTTCAGTGCTGATGTTCTGATGGTGCAGGTAACCTCCAAGATGTGGCCATCCCTGTTGTCAAATGGTTCACAGATACAAGAAAAACTTAAAGTTACAGTTTTTCACATCTGTAAAAGAAGTGTGTACAAAGGCAGCATTAAACAATTGCCTGGTTTAAATCCCTCCAGGTGTAGTAATGAAATACTTACAGCGAGCTTGCTCAGTGTGTTTCAAAGAGGTGAAAAACCTGCCAACCTTGCAGCTCTTCCTGAGCTCCTGTGGTTCAGCTGTGTAGCAGCTGTACTGCCAGGAACATGTCCCACTGACATTGTCCTGCCCAGGGTATGTAGCATGCCAAGGACTGGGCAACCAGACCAAACACAGCACATTTGAGCTGATATACCAGCAGAGAGGCTCCCCGGACATATATCATGTGTCTGATACATGATTTATTGTCTTTTGTACATTTGTTGTAGTGTAAGGCTGGAGGCTCTAGAAAATGGAGTGTGATTGACTGACACATTTGCAGAAGACAGACTTTCTCACAAAAGAACCAGCAGTCACTGGAAAGCTTATTGATGTGTCTAACCAATTCAGGTTGCCTTTCTCCTACAGTTAATATTTATCTTCAGGAAAGCTGATCTTAGGATGTAATGCTGAGTGGGACAGACTATGCTGATTCCTGTTGAAGCTGGTAGAAATTTAGATGCCGAAGTAATGTAGTAGGCCTCTAGTGTTTCTGCACTTCTGTTTCTTGTTTACCAGCTGTCTGTAAAACTTTCCCATACGGTTGAGATGGTTTGGCAGTGAGGGTGGTCAAAATGGCTCACGCACCAGTAAGGTCCAAAAAGTATCAAAATTAGCTAGAGGTGGTCGGTCCAGATCTTGTTCCCCATTTCCAGGTGAGTGCCAAGGTGGAGGCTTCACGTTCCTTGCGTTCTGCAAGGACCAAGGGATAACGCTGCTTTGTCTGCTGTTGCAGCAGCTCCRCTCTCTAGTGCTGCTCCTCGAGTGCTGCTGAACACGTAATTGCTGTCACATTGCTGCYACTCCATAGCCCTTCCAGATCTCATTGCTGTGTTTAACAGAGAGAGAGGAAGAGAGAAAAAGAGGGAAAGAGCTTGGTTTTGCAAAGCAGCTGCTATGTAATACTAAAATGGTCTATTAGGGCTTTTTTATTATCTATTAGGTTTTATTTCTCCTCTGAGCTTACAAAAATCAGATCCTTTCCCTAGCTTCCACAACGTGAAAGGAACCTGTTGCCAAAAACTGAGTCAGTATTGAAATGCTTTTCCTTCCTTTTTCTCCTGCTTTGTATAACTCCTTGTTCACTTTGATTTCGCAGGTACCTATTTGCATTGCAAGTGAAGCAGGACCTGGCACAGGGAAGGCTAACGTGTAATGACACCAGCACTGCCCTCTTAATCTCACACATTGTACAGTGTAAGTTCCTTTCTGCTCAGGAGGAGCAGCGGGGTGATTAGTTAGACAGGCTTTGCCGGGTTATCTGTTAATGGCTGCCGTGGGAGGAGGGTCAAGCCACATGAGCAATTTATTGCATTTCTGTAGAATGGCATTGAAGGGCAGGTAACTTAAATTTTTTTCCAGTGAAGAGCTCCTTGGCACGGGATTGGCATTTTTAATGCGCTGAGTCTGACAGTCTGACAAGGCTACTCTAAAAAGCAGTTTTTGCAGGTGGCCACAAATAGGTTGAATTCTTCCCCTGAGTTTTATTGTTTATATTTAACATTGTATCGTGTCAGCAGAGCATTCAAATTCCTGGAAATCTGTGTTCTGCTTAGAGAATGTAGCAAATAAACATGCTTAGAATGCCAAACTAAATCAAAGTCCTAAGAAGAAATCACTAGGGAAGAAAAAAAAACAGCAGATTTACTTTTTTTATCTGAAGGTATGCACAATAAAAGTGTTCAGTAGAATCATACATCAGCTTTTTTTCATCATATCAAAGCTTCTTCYATCTTTCAAATCACTTGAAAGGTGATACATGCTCCCCATTTCAAGAAATTACAGTTAGTAGTATTGAGAATAACAGTAGGAAGAAACACTGAGTATGTGTAAACCTTGATGGAAATCCTGATCATAATCAGCCCTAGCTCTGAATGGCCATTGCACAAGCCAGTATTGCATTTTCCACTGAAGTGCTGCGTGGCGTGGATTGCTGTCAGCAAAGACATTTAGAAATCCTTGAGTGATCAATAGGTAATTTTCATGGTGTTTTGTCACAGTCTGTTAGGGCGTTTGGATAGATTCTCATCAATCACTCTTGAAAAGGAAAGGCAGATTTTGCATGATTTTCTATTTGACATGCTCAGTGACCAGTGTTACTGAGGGCAATAAGATGTTGTACTGCAGCCTCTTGGCAATTCTGTATCCCTCATAGCCTTTTCAGGCAGAATGTTTTTGCAGCAAAGACCTTTTTTTCTTTTAAGAAGAAAGCCTTGGCTATTTAGCTTGTTCTGTCTTTCAGTTTTTCCTGCCACTGTGTTCAGCACATCAGCTGTTATTTCTCTTTTCTGACATCTTTTCATCTCTGTGATAGTTAAGAGATACTGGATATCCTGTGCTGCAGTACAGACTGGGGGGTCTCCTCAAGTAGGATATTGTTTCATCCTCTCTTGAGCTCTGCAATTCTGCATGCAGTATTTTCCTTATTCCTTCTACTTAGGTCCTAGTTCATATCTCACTTTCTTTTGATGATTAGTCAATTAAATTCTTCACTGAGCTGCCTGCAGCCCTGGTGTCTGAACTGCTCAGTGGCAACTTGCTTTCCTAAAGCAGCGGTGTAAGAGGATAAAATCCTAGGATGCCCATTCACCTTTGTCTCCTTCCCTCCTTTCTGCCCTTTCCCTCCTCACAGTCAAACACAAATTTAACTCCATGTTTTTCACAGTTCTTCCATTATCCACCTGGCCATTCCCTGCAACACGCAGTGCAGGCAGGCTTTCCTTCCAAATGTGGGCTACAGCATATCTAATTTCAACTTGAAGACTGAGCAAAAGGGCAAATCAACACCAATGCTCTTATGCTATTGAGATATGATATGTTGTTGAGTTGTGGGATTGTTCCCAATTGGGCTGAAGGAGTGTGGTGATTTGAGGCTGTTTTTAAATTTTTGTGCTGTCTTTCCCACTTCTAAACTTGAGGTATAGAGTGATTTTGACTTGTGATCAAGAATCAACTAGTGTTCTCCTTCTGGAGAGTAAGGAAGACAGTTCTGCACTGGAAAAGGGAGCTTTTCCATCCTGGCAGAAGAAGGGAGGCCAGAGAATACTTGCTCAGATGGAAGCAGAATCCACAGTAGCTAAACTGTGATTTTGGGCAGAGGGTTTTGTGTCTTGTGGTGCACCTACKGTGCTGCTCCGCTCACCAGCTCCTCACTGCAACCTGGGCCTTTCTTTCATTTTCCGACATGGTCAGCATACCYCTCATTCCCCCTTTCTTGTGTAATTCTGCTTGCTGGAAGCCTTTGTGCAACCTTCTGTTTGTTGGATCTTTGTGATTGCCCCATTTCTTTATCCATCTTGTGTCTCATAAAGATTTTTCTATGAAAATTGGCTCCCATAAGAGCGTATAGCTGTAGCCTACCCACGTGGTTCTCTTTTGTACTTATTTTCTCTTCAGCTTATAATTCAGTAGCTAAAAAATATTACACATTTGCCTGCAATGAAAATAAAGCTTGACAGCTGATAGCAGTGATGTTATCCAAGTGGAAAGATGGAGAAGGGAGGAGGGTAGGTATTGTGGCTTATCAGTGCTGTGCCTGCCAGSAGTTTCCATGAAGGACTATCTGATTCCAGAAGCCTTTACGTTATGGATACAATTATGTTTAAATAAAATTATAATACGATAGCACATAGATTTTTGTTAAATTAGCCTGTGTATTACAGAATAGATTGTATATGTGAAAGCTTCCATTTGAAAATACTGTTTGGCAAGTGTGAAAAGTGCAGGATTACTTTGGTACAGTGAATGATGCAGAAAGTGAATGTGTCGAGTAAGAAGATGGCCTGATAAAAGGAAAAGAGCTGAAATGTAAAGCATTAGACGCACCAGAAGTATTAATGCGGGCAGAAAATGTAGAGAGTGGTGTGAGGCGCCTGCAGAATAAGAGAGAAGAGATTATGTGGAAGTCAAATCTTTGACTAAAGCACACAAGAAGATTTTAAAGAAGACTTACATGAGAGGCTGGCGCTATTCAAGATCAAACTCCCTCTCTTTCTGGAGACACTGCTATTAGAAAGGAATTCAAGAGGAAGAAGGAAAGCTAGAGAGGGAAGAAGGAGAAACTGCTGAGTGCAGGGTCAGAGAGGACAAATTCAGAAGTAATTTGAAAGCCAAGAGGACAGTCTTGATAATGGATTTGCAGTCTTACAGACGCAAAGAACATTAGAAAAAGCATGTGAGGAAGTAAGAGTTTTCTGTAGTCTTGACCCTGAAGAAAGCCCTACATAAGGGGGATTTAATTACATCTGTGTACAAGGATGTACAAACTATGATGCACATTTTCAAGAGTCAGTGCCCAGCTTGCATCATTTGAGGCCTTGCAAGCCTAAGCAGGACTGTGGCCTCATTAAAAAAGGGAAACAGTCTTCCATTTGAGGTAGGACTAAAAATGGACCCCGAAGATTTTTGTCACTAGGAGCAACTAAAATTGAGGTGATGGAGCTGCTTTTGAGATGAGAACAGTGAGGACCTTTCTGCAAAGGAGGATTCTCAAATGTTCCTTAGTAAGAAAGTCTGTCGTTGAATGTCAGAAGGGATTGTTCAGAGCAGATTGTCTGATCCCCATSCCCTTACTCATCCCATCTTGATTTTCAGTTATTTTTCCAACCTTGACCTCACCAACCTTCTAGGCATTACGAGTAGTTACGTGGCTGCAGCCAGTTTGGGTTGAAAGGTCTTTCATCAGTGACTGCAGACCTCATCTTGCATACCTATGCGAGATGCTCTCCCCTCCACATCTGCAGCTAGATAAAAATCTTTCAAAAATCACCTGCAGTGTCTTAAACATCTACTTACACCCTTCTTTCTTTCTAAACCAGCTCATTTTGGACGGAACTGGATTAAGGCATCTTTTATATGGTGAGGCAGAGGTGGGGTGGTGGTACCCTCAAGTAAGGATGAGGCAAGGATCTGAGCCTGGGTGCCCAGCACYCTGAGTCAACTGCAGAACAGTGTGTCTGTGTGTAGCGTAGATCTAACTTGAGGGATCTGCATTTTAGTTTCATTGACCTTTATAACGGAGCAGCCTTTGCTGTAGAATTAGTCCTGTTATTCCAGCAGGTCTGCAGGCAGAGGCTGGTATCTTGTTCTGTTTAAAAAATAAAATATGAGCAAGATCTTCAGAGATACTCAAGAATACTAGATAGTCATATGGTACCTACACATAGATTGTCCCCTCTCCCCGCAAAAGGGAATCCCACTGAATGGGCTGGGAAATGGAAGGTGGGTGTAACACACTCTTGCACACACTTTATTGAATAACTGCAGCAGATGGGCACAGCTTTGAGGGGGAGGGAGACAGAATCTGTCTCACATTGCTGCAAAATTAGAAGAAGACAAATATTTGAGATGAAGACATGCATGTGTGAAAACAGGCAAAACACAACCCACCCTCTTCCAGTTTGTCCCAGGAGGTGATGCATGGGACTTGGGCCTGGGGAAGAAGCTTGTGCTTGCCTCCTGTGGGGAAGCTGAGCACCTCCATGGGGTGAGAGGCTCGGGGGGCAATGCTGGAGTAGTGCTGCCCTTCTCCAGGTCGTCCCCTTTATTCCTCCACATGAGGCAAGGCAGTGCTGTGATGGCTTCATTGGCTAAACCAACATCTAATAGTTGTGTASTCGGCTGTGGAGGTTGGAGGGAATCCGTGGGCTGCTTCTCACATCTATGGCAGGTGTTTGCAGAGAGGAGAAGGGAGGAATGTGGGGAAATGGCCAAAATGGGAGTTTGAGTCATGAAACCACGGCACAGCTTACAGCAGACGTGTTTGCCTCTCTGCTCTCTTCCCTGCTGTCTGCATCTTTTGGTGCATATCCAATTCACCGCTTTAATATCTCTTTTCTTTAATTCTCCATAGCTGAGATTGGGGATTTTGATGAAACCATAGATCGCGAACACTTAGCAAAGAACAAGTATATACCTCAGCAAGAAGCACTAGAAGACAAAATCATGGAGTTTCACCGTAATCACATGTAAGACTTTTTCCTTTTTTTCCCCCTTTCTTATTGATCCTCTTTTCCTTCAGTGAAATTCTCCCTGTGCAATGTACTTACTTATAGATGGTAAGGACAGAAGATTTAGCCTCTGAGTTTCTCCGAAGTTATGACTGAAAGAAAAAAAACTCCAGCCTATGAGTTTCCTGAAGGTTACTGCTGTCTTTCTCCCGTCATCGTAACAAGATGTTTAAAGAGCAATTGATTTTGATATTCATTCAAGCCTGCAATTATTTTACAGTCTATTTCATACGAAATGCTTCACTGCTGATTTTGTGCATGCAGATATGATTGCAGATGATGACTCTGATCAGGCACTTGTGACAATAGACTCTTTGATTTCAAGGACATAAAATGTTGCATTTTCACCTTTTCATGCTGTGTTTAGGGATAGATGAAGAAGGATTTTAATGATAATTTTTAGGGAAGGCACAGAGTGCATGCAGAATTAAGGATCTGGGGAATAGGATTCAAGATCATGGTGCAAACTGATGCCCCAAGTCCTGGAGAAGAGCTTGGTGGTAGAAAATACAAAAATTAAGAACAAGGCATAGAAAAGTGTATTTCTGCTTTTGAGAATACTTCAGGACTTAAACAGTTTCAATTTGAACTAAAGAGTTGGCGATTAGTGATTGGGAATTTATAGCAGTAATAATCAGAATTTGTATGTAATTTAGTCTAGAAATTTAGTGCTTATGGGCTCACAGCATTTACATTAAGGCTCTTTTGTCTTCAATTTTACTTTTTTAAAAATCATATTCACTTTTACAATGAACAACATTCTTAAAAACCTTTTTTTTATGAATTTTCTAAGCACATATCCTGTGCTATTCCAATGGAAATGTTTCAATATAGAGAGAGAGTGACATCTGTTAAAGAAAATGATTCAAGATCTAGTTGTCTAAGGTGTCTCAGAATTGGAGTGGTCAATATTTCTAATAGCCTGTAAAATCTGTGGATTCTTTGGTATTGGCTTGCACTAAAATGAAATTGTTTTTCAAGCAGATATAAATGTAGSGGTGTGGAACAACCATGAGGATATCGTATCACTGACAGGTTTTAGTCTCTGTGATGATGTGTCTCTTCATTCTTTAGAGAATCCATTGATCTTTGTGAAAAAGATGTGAAGAATTTTGCATTTCTTTCTGTGATTTCATTTTCAAGGGGACAGACACCAGCAGAGTCTGACTTCCAGCTTTTGGAGATTGCCCGTCGCCTKGAGATGTATGGAATACGCTTGCATCCAGCCAAGGACAGGGAAGGGACAAAAATCAACCTGGCTGTTGCCAACACAGGCATTCTGGTGTTTCAGGTTAGAGCTGCTCTAACAGGTTATGGCTGTGTGCTTTATTATATATATTTCACCCATATCTCCCAGAACAGTAAGAATTGCAATACCCCAACCATGTCTTCAAGAACTTTGTTGGAAAAATAATTWAAAAAAAAAAACTATCTTTTTTTCTTTTTTTTTTTTCCCAACAAGCCACCTTATTCCTTTTATAGTTGCATTATATCCTTCACTTCCAGGGATGTTTGCCTTATTCGCACACACAGGCTGGACGTTGTTACCATTATAAAACAACTATTTATTTTAGCCACTTAACTTTACTTGAAGTACTATGATGAGTGTTTCCAACTTAAAAACCAAATGTCTCTATAGTAAACCTACAAAACTGAAGCATGAGCAATTGAAGCATGAGAACTTGAAGCACTTGAAGCATGAGAACATCAGGACGTTGTTGAGAAGTGCACACATCTCAGATAATTGTACCTGTAGGCCCTTCCCCAACTTCCCCCACAGTATTTTACATCAGCTGGATTTGCAGGTTTCAAAAGCTTGTAAGTTAGGACGTTGCCTTACAGCTGAAAGCAGATTCCCACTCAAAATAGCATGGGCCTCACTGGGTCTTAGCAGACAGCTGGGATGCCTCCAAAGAGATGTAGCTGCCAGCTGAGGCCCAAGGCCTGATTTATAAAGCTCTACAGCTCAGTTATCTCCTCTTGTTCACAGTCCTAACGTAGTTCAGGCAGCTTTCTGTAGGACTTGYGAGAAAGCTTGGAAATTCTGCTGGATCGAGTTCCAAGACTGAACACTGTGATGGGATCTCTTAAGCTTTGTCCTTCTGTTTTGACTCCRGCAGTTGGAGTTTGGTAGTAGGCTTACGGGTTTGTTTCCATGGGGCAGGAGGTGTGTGTGCATCTTTTTTATTGTGGATATAACTGAGAGAAACTGCTACAGCAAGTCTTGTAAGAGCAGCATCAAGGAAAATGGAAGTTTCCTCACAGATGGCATTAGCGTTGCCCACACAGACTTTTTTTAAACCCAGCCACTTATTTAGGAATTGGTAGTGGCGCTGCTGAATTCTCCAGGGGAGGTTAATTATAAAATTCATAGACAGCAGGGATGGACTTAGCAGGGATAATCACACTGCTGGTACTCCTACACCCCTCTGGTGATGAAGCCCAAATCAATAGGCACTTGTGTATTTAGCCATCCTGTAGTAGCTCGTCTTTGAAATGTCTGTGACGTCTGGGCATGTTTGTATTGAACTCTTTATTGAACAAGCTGGTGTAACTATTGGTTTAGAGAAATACCTCAAATTCTAACAGATCARTAATTGGACTTGTGGGTTAAATGATGCCGTGTCTGGGAGTCACAGAGCGTTTTGGAGAGGATCCTCCAGGATTTCTCAGGCATGCTGTTCGCTTCAGAAGTTTTTGCCTCTTCAGGTAAACAGGAAGTAATTTATTTAGTTTTCTTTCAATTCTGTTGCTCCCTATGAAAGATCAGGTTTTACAGTTGCTGCTTTTTTTTTTCAGTTCACTGATATTTGAAGGGATGTTCATTTTGCTATGCAAACAGGTAGATAGGAAAGAAATCTGTCAGATCAACATGAGGTGACCATTGTTGGTTGTCTGGATTCCCTGCATTCTCTGTAGCTGATGCAGAGAAGAGGCTCCTCTGGCAGGTGATGTAGTTCACTGGAAATCTGAGTCTTCCTTTGGAGATGTGCTTTATCTCTGGCAGCTGTATAGGAAGCCTAGGAGCTTAGGGTTCCCAGCCGCATATCACACACCCTTGGAAGCTTCTGCACCATGCAAGAAAGGGGATTTTTTTGCCTGAATACTGGAACAAGGTAACATAGTCTGGCAAAGGCTGGGCCTCCCTGTTCTGTGCCGTGATACTGGATTAGAAACYTTTTTGTCAAATCACTGTACTTCTAGCCCTAAATATCTGCCTTYGGTCACACCTCCAGATCCTTAAGGTTAAAAACGTGTTTGCCGTATCAGAGTAAGAATGATAAGAAATATCATAATGGCAAGTGAAGTGAACAGCTAATTAATGTATTACCAACTTTCCTTGGTGGTTTAGATTTCTGCATTCGTATCTGGAATGCTTAAAGTCTGCTGGCTTTGTCCTCTCTAGGGTCACACCAAGATCAATGCCTTCAACTGGGCTAAGGTTCGAAAGCTGAGCTTCAAGAGGAAACGTTTTCTTATCAAGCTACGGCCTGATGTGAATGTAAGTCCTTGCTAGGAATTGTTAAATATGGAGGAGAGGTTATTTGGTAAATATTTATAAAAATACATATTTTGAGGAAATATTTACMAAATAATCTCTCCTCCATATTATAAAAATACGTATTTTGAGTGATATTTTTGAGTGTCAGTGGTGGCCAGTGACAGGACAAGGGGCAGTGGGTACAAGCTGCAACACAGGCTGCAATGTGAGGAGGAACTTCTTTGCTGTGAGGGTGCCAGAGCCCTGGCACAGGCTGCCCAGGGAGGCTGTGGAGTCTCCTTTGCTGGAGATCTTCCCAACCCGCCTGGATGCCGCCCTGTGCCCYGTGCTCTGGGTGTCCCTGCTGGAGCAGGGGGTTGGACTGAATGATCTCGAGAGGTCCCTTCCAACCTTAAATATTCTGTGATTTTCTAATTCTGTAATCTCAAGATTTTTAAATTAATTTCATAATTTCTCAGTTGGCATGTTAATTCATGTATCATACTGGGTACTCAGATGAGCAATCCTAGCAATGGAGATGCAAGCGGAATGTCACAAAGTCTTCTTGTGACTGCTTTCTTGGTACTGAATTGGGTTCTTAAGCTATTGTTTGCAAACTACCTCAACATGTTAAGCCCCCCTTAGCATGTCAATATCTCTGTTTTTTTCTCTGTCATACTGGCAATGAAAGGAAGTTGGAGCCATAGCTTAGATGTTGCCTGACAGATCAGTGATGTCTCAAAGAGAGAAGGAAAAGGCCTCCTAAGCCTGGAAGCCAATGGATCAGAAGAACATGGGTTTTTTTGTAGCACGACACCTGTTCTSTCAGTGCATCTCTGTAATGTGTGTTGCTTGCTTGTTGACGTTGCAAATGATTTCTCATCTTTCAGAGCTCGTTCCAGGATACCCTGGAGTTCCTTATGGCTAGTCGAGATTTCTGCAAGTCTTTCTGGAAGATCTGTGTGGAACATCATGCCTTCTTCAGGCTTTTTGAGGAGCCTAAACCAAAGCCTAAACCTGTTCTTTTTTCTAGAGGTTCATCATTTAGGTTCAGGTGAGATCTGCTTTCTTTGGTTTACTTTTGAAAGTTTCAGTTTACTCCTTTATATTTTCTGTTGATTTTCTCATCCTCAATAATACAGAAAAGACTATGGAGGAAAAAAAAAAAAGGAATTTTCTGATAGCCATTGCAAAGCAGCTTTCCAGAGGGAGGATATTTTTTCCAGCTGTTTTCAGATAACAAAATGCACCTGAGTGCTAAAGCAGTGCAACTTGCAACTCTGACRCTCTCCAGCTTCCCTCTGTTCAGGGAGAAGTCTTTTCTCTCATTGCATTTTCATTCTGTGGCCCTGTGGTAAACCCATCCATGTGCAATTAAGAGCAGTGTCTTTATGCTAAGACTTTCATGCCTGCAAAAGATTTATGTGAGATGGCTGCCTGTGCTTGGACAAGGTAGACAAGGTCTACTTGTGAAATTGTGAATGTCAGAAAGGAAAAAGAAAATCCTTTTATGCATTTTTTGGGGGGGAAGCTGATATAAGATGACCAGCCAGAAAAGCTCTTTGCTGAAATAAAGCATCTCTGCACTAAGTACAATTCGTGATGTACAAACATCATTGAGTTTAGCATAGGCCTTAATAAACACTGTAATGCTGACAGATGATTGCATCTAGCATTCAAGGGGTTTTACAATGTGTATTGGTTCAGATTTTCCAAAATCTGAATCTTCTTGGCTTATATGCAAAGTCAAAAACTCTAGCAGTTCGATGCAAGTATCTAGTAGACATGGCCATRCTAAATGTCTGCCAGCTTTCTATTTCCTGCCTGCAAAGTAGCTTGTTTAATATGCAAGGACCTATGTTTGGGCTAAATCGTAATGTAAATTTAGTTACTGACAGAGTAAATAATAGAAAAATATAGGGGCRTTCAGCTTACCTTCTGCTTTGGAGAACAGGTTTTGACCACATCCTGCATTCGCTGTAATCTGTGTTGAGTAGCTTGGTAACTTTTTCCAAGCCTCACAATGATTATTACGTAAAAGCCTACAAGGAATGGGAAAGGATTTGGTTCTCTATTGAACATCCTTGGTTTGCTTTACTGCTTTCAATTCCTTTTGGAGTACATCTTTGCACAGTAGGAAGTGATGGGTTTTCTGACAACTTTTTGGCTTATAGGAGAAGGGGAGGGAGTGATTTGCAGCCTAAATTTCTGCAGAAAAAGTTTTGTGCTTTTAGTGGGTGTCTTTAATATTAGCAGCTGAGCCATGAAATGCATTTCAGCTCTTTTCCCCTTAGTTGCAGGTTTTAGTGAAATTGTGGGTAATATTTGATTCTAAATAGGATTTGGGAATGCTTTTTGTTCATGGGAAGAAAATTTAGCCCAAGTTTCCCTTTCTGTTGTGGGCTATAATCAGCTATAAAGGGCACACAGTGGAATTCAGATGGTTCTGAAATGACATCAAAAGGTACCTCTATACCAAAAAAAGATGCAAGTCACATGCAGAGAGATCTTTTAAAAAATGGGTTTCTATCATGGTCAGCTTCCTTTGCAGGTTGCATGAGTTGCAGCTGAGAGAAATATTATTCTGGTTGCTGTGACTCCATAGGACGTAGCCTGAATCGATGGATTGTTAGTTTACCCAGCAGGGACCCATAAAGAGTTGCAGACCACATACGTGTCTACGATGACTAGGTGATACACTATATTAAATGTGACAGACTTTTTTTTTCAGACTGATGGCTTAACTGTGTCTTTCTTCTAGTGGCCGGACTCAGAAGCAAGTCCTTGACTATGTTAAAGAAGGAGGGCACAAAAAAGTACAGTTTGAAAGGTGAGAGAAAGCTAAATGAACTAGTCTGATATTACTCTGATAGTCTAATTAAAGAAGAGTGGTCTTTTCCATTTACTTATATTCTAAGAGCTTGGCACAAGCCTAAGCAAGAATACTTTTTTGCTAATTTGGCAGTTCGTCACTAATATAATATCCCCTTTGTCCTAAATATTTTGACAGAAGTTGGCATGACCTATATTTTACTTAAAATCTATAGTCTTCAATGTGTTTTTCAGCAGTGAGCACCCTGCTGTTGCAGGTAACTTCTTACTCCCRTATTGACTTGCACCATCTTCAGTTGGATGTGATTAATCTATGTGAACTGAAAATGTGAAACCTTTTTAAGTAAAAAAGAGAATAAAAGGGAAATAACAGAAAAAGGCATAGCCTACCTCAAGAAGGAGATCTCTAGGGAAGGCTTCCAACTTAACTTGCTAAAGCCASTTTTGTCCAAACTCATCTTGCTCATGGTCAAATGAAAGTTATAGTGAAAATGTACTAAAGACCCTGACAACAGTTTATGCTTATGACTCATGTTCTGCTTCAGTGCCCTTCCCTTCTCTTGCAGTGGCATATTTGTGATGTGCAGTACAGTTAGATTTTACCAAAAAAAAAAAAAAAAAACTGCTGATCTGTTAATCTGTTTCAGGGGCAAACTTTTGTGAAAGTTACTGTTGAGAGCTTTAGCTTTTCAAGGAGATGTTTCTCTTGCTGCCTGTTGATGAAAAACCTGAGATGTCTGCTTACTGTGTTTTTCTTTTTTTTCCCTCAGGAAGCACAGCAAGATTCATTCCATCAGGAGTCTGACTGCACAGCCTTCAGAACAGCATTCAGAGGTGCCAAAACAAGTCAGTGATGTGATGAAACCCTGGCTGATGCCTTTTAAGCATTTCTTGATAGATTACTGTCTGTCAATTGGTGTTTTGAAAACTGGGAAGCACAGATTTTTCTGCTCACTTCCATTTAACTGGGAGCTCAGGAGCCCTGGGTGCAAGAAGTTTTAACTTCTGCAAGTGGAGCAGATTCATTTCCATTACAGAAAAAAAGATGCTTCCAGATGACAAGCACAAACAGTGAGCTTGTCTGAGCTGAACTAGTGACCATCTAAAAAAATGCAATCCACAGTCTTAATGCTGGGGTCCAGGTTGTCACTGGTGGTTGTGTCAGAGGAAGAGGTTAATTCTTTTCCTCAGTAGATGAGTCTTCACTGCCCCACTTGTGTTAACCTGAGGGAAGAGATATTTTCTCAAAGTAATTGTTGTTGTGAACTTTTAAAACATTATCTTTGGTGGATGCCAAGTGTAAAATGTTTTTGTCTTATATTAATAGCTGTTATGTGTTAGGAGTTGCTGCTGAGGATCCTCATGCAGGTGAGGCTGCAGTGACTCCATGTTCCTAGGTCAGGCAGTGGTGAGACTGAACACATATTCCCAGTATTCTCTAGCTATCTCAATCCTGAAGAAATTCAGAGAATTCTGCCACAAATACATCCTGTTTCACAGATCTTTTAACATTTTGTAACTTCTAAGACAAGCTCAGGGGGAGAAAATAAAGTTGTCAGGCAGGTGCAGCATTTCAACTTGCTGAAAAGCAAGCCGRGAATGACTGGCCGGTCACTGCAGTGGCTGAATGCTGGGCTGTTTAGAAGTCTGCACAGGGCCCTTTGGGCTTTTTTAGTGTATGCAAGGAGGCTGTGCAGTATTTATCTCATATGTTTATCTTACTTCTCCCTTCGGTTTCTCGGAGGAATGCAAACAGGTTAATATTCAGTGGTGATGGCAGCATTAGGGCATGGAACCATCTCAATACCCCTTTTTACATATCACTGCATTCTGCCTCCCTTATCTTCCTTTTACTTAGTTTATATTTTTTTTCCCCATAATCTGTTCTTCAAGATCAGAGACCTGGGCTTCTGTTGTTTACCTCATTTTGAGGCTTGGATTACTACCTCTGTTTTCAAGATATACCTATGTCGCTGCAATAGGCATTGCACAATGCTGGTGTGTAATTACACAGCACCTCTTCCCTCTGGCTCCCTTCCCTTCCACCCCACTTCTCTCCCATCCCATCCCTCCCTCCCATGTTGTCTCCCTTTGCCTTCCCTTCTTTATCTTTCCAGAGCTCTAGCTTTGCCTTTGGAGATGACAATGATGCCACAGCAGTGCAGAGCTGCCGGCAAGGGAAGGAAATGAAAGCTTCTACAGAAGACACTGGACAACGCAGGAGCCCTTCCTTGAAGAAGAGCCCAAAGGAAAGCAGAAAGGTGGATGGAGCAGTGGTGTCAACAGCGGAGGAAGAAGAGGAGATTACTAAGGACAAGATGCAGCAGAACAAACCTCAGTCGCAGCAACCAAGCACAGGTCCAGCTTCCAGGGCTGCTCATGGCAGCAGCACCTCCATTCCTTTCATTGACTGCAGTGATGTAGATAGCGAGTATGATCTCCTCAGAGGACAAATAACCCGGTCATATTCCCAAACAAATGACAATTATGAGGGTGATTTGACCAGTGGTGCCTATATTCACTATAGAGATGAAAATCGCAATAGAAATAGGTATAGGGATTCCTCGGCCTCTATAAAGTCTTCCCAGTATCTCTCTGAAGAGTACCTTGATGAGAACACAGCTAATCTCAGCTTCTACACTGGGGGAAGCCCCAGGATGCCAAGGCACAGCTCGCTGGTTGATGAACTCTTTAGAGAGCCAGGGAGCCGTAGCCCACTGGCCACTCCGTTGTCTCCCAGTAGCAAAGGGTCAAGCCCTAACATGAGCCTGAGTAGAACTGGCTCTCAGGGTTATGTCTCAGAGAACGGGCATGACTGCAAGGCAAGGCCCGGGGAGGAGGACAGCTATGCCGGTGGCTGCCGTGAGTATGGCAGATATTCTCCAGGTTCTCAACGGCCTCATGTTCAGAAAATCCCAAATCGTTGCAATAAGTCGGGGACGGACCCGTTTATCCTGAGCCAGATATCCTCAACTCCCGGGCAGGAGTACAGGTCAGAGAGACACTGCAAAGGAGGCAGCATGATTAAAATGTCTTCTCCCGAAGGCAAAGTGATGGCCAACGGTCTGCCAGGTGGGGGACAGGCCAAGCAGAGCCCGGTCATCCAGTCGTTGCATGCCAGTGGTGTGATGGATCACATGGCTGCAATCCAGATGATGGAGGGCTCCACCAGCAGCGGGACAGAATCTAGCGATTCCGACTCGGAAATCATTAACCCTTTCACTCACCCTCTGGTGTTTGGAAACCCCATCGTGCTGAGTTCCTCTCCCATGCCTAGAAATAAGTACTCCTTTGGAAGCCTTCAGCTGGAGGAGGAGGTAGAGGAGGATGTGTCTGTTGGCCTCAGTGATGAAGATGGTGTGCAGGTCTTCAGCTGCTAGGGACTGGGGCAATATGAGATCACTGAAAACCATGATTGCTCATTAGACCAATTGCTTTTTCTGGGACTGGTGAAAAGTGGCCAGACTGTAAAATCTAAGAGCATGGGCTATTGTAAACGTTACTGCCCTTTTGGCCAGCCACAGGAAAGGGGTACTAGAAGTACAATAGTCAGGATGAGTCTCAGTGAAGCTTAACAGTTATTTATCCCCTCTGAAGGCCAGGAGAGGGGTGGAAATAGTGACAGATTTAGTTACTTTTGTAGTACATTATGGTTAGGTAGGACTTTATACATTTCTTTTTTATATTACGTCATTTTTAGGTATATGCTATAGCTTCTTTGACACTTGACTGGTTATTTTAACAAAACAAAAACAAAATGAACTAGGGACATTGTGCTCCTTTGTGAGCCTCGTACGTTTTTTTTTTTCTCTCTTCTACAAGGAGAGATGTTCATGAGTGCCTCAAAAAAGTCAAGGAAAAACACCAAGGTATGGCCAAATGCAGGCAGCTTGATATTCAAGGCCAGGGCTTGCAGAAACCCTTAACATCTTAAATCTTTTCGTGGCACAAATGTCTTTGGTCTGCTCATTTTCATAATCCATTTTATAACCTAACTTGATGAAGATTTAAGCTAGCCATGTATACGGGCACAATAATAGTATTGGCTTTTTATGTAGCAGGCTCAACAGGCCAATTTTGGTAAGGGAGACTGTGAAATTCTAAATTCTGCTCAGGCAAGACAGAGAATATGAAAGATACAATTCACGTGAAATAAAATGTAGACTGAAACCATTCTAATTGAGAGTGGTTTGGGTACAATTTGCAAGGCAATCCTTTCTCTCTTTTGTCAGGAGGGTATGAAGATTAATTACGAGAGGGTTGCTTTGCCTTTTATCCCCCTCATTTGTTCAGTGGTATTATTCACAGAGATATCAAAGTTCCATTGTGGGTGATTTTGGGTGGGGGTTTGGATGTGGTCGCTGGTAGACTTCTTCATTTCTTTGATCATGAAAAATCTTTATCTGTATAAGATCCAATTAGTCTGTCATAGGCTATTCTTTTTAATAATGCCACCTCATAAATTTTTCATCCCCAAAGAGAGACAAAGAACTATGTAACTAACTCTCATCTAGGCTGATTGTCTTGAGTACTRTATGTAGAGTAACTAGATTTTGGCACAGGTACTGAAAGACAGAGAGGAGGCTAATTATATGAAAATCTCATTTTCGCAGTCTAAAAATACAGAGCAGCTAAGGCTATATCCTGATAAAATCTGATCCTGTTTTCTCTGACTTGATTATCAAGAAAATGCAGAGAAAAGGTCTCCTGTATGGTGTCCTGCAGYAATTACAGCTGGGAGACGAGATGTGCTCTTTACCACTGGCCTTATTTTTGTATGTTTTATATAAATTGAGATTTTTAAGTGATGAACAACAGCACTGAATGAACAGCAGGTCACTTGCAGTGACCTGAATCATGCAGTAATGATGAATCCACCCACATGAATTTTGATGAAGTCCAGGTACAGGACTTTGTAAATTGAGACAATATAAAATTTTCAAGATTGTTTTTGCAAAACTAAGAAAACAAGAAGTCCTTTTAATTTTTCTAATGCCTTGGTCTATGCACACTTTAACAGAGTTTAATCTGAATGAAGGATATTTAAAAAGATACTTATAGTAGTCTAGGCATGTTTTGTTATATACTTTACATTTTTTTGCAGTAAAATATATCTTTGTGTAAATATAAGTTTTAATGTGATCACCTATGTGAGTGCGTTGACTTCCCTTAAAGATTAGATACCTCAACTTTAAATAGGAATGATTATAAGGCATTTCTTTTGACAGTGTTGTTTTGGTGATAGGGAACATGTCCTGAGTTCCTGTAGTTAAAAGCATGAATCTAGAAACAGAGAAATGGATAATGAGGAATAAGGCTTGCTTGTATATGATTTTAAAAGAAGATGGTTTGTGTTTGGGGCTTAGAATAGCTGTAAAATACTTGCCTTGAACTTCTGAATATTTAAGATGAAATATAGGCATGGGGAGTGTATGCATGAGTCTCCTGGGGTTTTTTTTGCTGACTCTATAGCAAAAATACCAGTAGTTACATTATGCAGTAAAGTAATAGTGGACACATGCATTAATAATTGCTTTGTTAGCTGGTAGAATTAGAGCTTAAGTAATGGTCTTTCAACAAAAGGATTCTTGTTTCTRGTCTTGTTTCTGCTGCTTAAGAAGAACAGATTTCAGATTGTTTGGATTTAAGTGAATAGGAAACTTGTAGGTGACATTTACTATTTTGTATCCTTTCAAATACAGTTTTATTGCCTGCTTTTTATTCTCTCATATGCCTGCAAAGAAAATGAAGTTATTATTTTACAAGAACAGATCTGCTGGTAGTTGGAGTTAGCTTAGTTTCTMATAGTGTCTCAACAGCTTCTTTGAATATTATCTTCAAAAAATGGAAAATGAGGATTTTTCTCCAACTATTTGTTGTCATGTGGCATTTTTTCCAATTTCACATGTTTAAGTGTTTGTAGTTTCAACACGTGTGGGATTCTTCCAGTTGAAGAAGAAATGTTTTGTAAATTACATGGGAAGTCAGTTAATTTAGGATGAATCATTCTGCAGCATTCTTATGCCACTGAAGTTCAGTTTAATATCATTAGACAAGCATTTAATTAAAACCAGTCTGTGGGCCAAATTCCTCCACCAGACATGTGGTTCATATCTGGGGGCTTGCCAGGAATGGTAGGGAGAGAGCAGTTTTACATTGACATTTTCACGTAGGATCAGGTCCCTCAGAATTAATTGGTGAGTTTGTTTCTGTGGGAGAAATAAAGCCAGACCTTAGAGGGAAGAGTGGAAACCTTTGGGGTGAGACTGCGGCTGAGATGGGGGAGTTCATGTTATTCTAGTTCACAAAGCACACACGAGGAGAGGAGCCTGTCAGTTCACGTTAATCACTGCAGGCATTGATTAATCTGCACCCCCTGGTTAATGTGCCTGGTTTGAGCATACGTGGCTCTCGACTGTAGCAGAAGAATTAATAGCCCTGGTGAAAGACTTTGTTCTTCCCATCGATTTCTGTGGATTTGGGGTGTTGCTGATGGTACTCACAAATCAGCCTTCTAAATCTTTCATTTTAAGTGAAAGAATTAGCTTTTAAGTCGCAGACTCTAGAAATGCGTGCGTATCCTTAGGCAGCGGCTACAAATAGGGAACCGAATCCCAGCGAGATTTAGCAGCTCGGTGTCCTCTGAATGAGAAGTCCTGGAGCCACCCATCTCCTGTCTTCCAGAGGACTTGCAGGAAGCCTCTTCTGGGCTGCCAAGGCTGCCTAACACTGTACTGAGCCATGGGTGAGGAGACATAATGTGCAGGTGCAATTAGCAAAAATAATTGCAACTGCAATTAGCTGCAATTAGCAAAAACAATGTGTGGATGTAAGCAGCAATTTTGGCGGTGGATGATCCTCCCATTCTTTCTCTGCTCTCCTATGTCCTTGAGCACATTCACTGCTGCAGTGAGAAGGAAAAGTCACGTGAGATGGTTTTAAACTTTCTCCAGCTAACCAGCAGCTCAAATGCACTGTGTCACTTCGGGTCTTCTTCTGTAGTTTCTCCTCATATCAGTCCTTCATACAACCTGATCTGTGAAATTTGGGAATCTGTTTGGCTAGATGAAGGAACTTGAGTAGTGATGAGCTGATGCAGGAGGCAGGGATAGGATATTGCTGGCATGGAGTTGAGGATAACCAATACTTGGATAGTCCAGGCTGCACCATTTCAGGTTTAACTAGTTGTTATGCCCTTAGAACTAAGTATTCCTTGTGCATGACAGAGAGGGGTCCTGTCTTGGGATGATCTATGCCTAACACTGCCATTTTCCCAAGGCACCTCTTATTAGACCTGCCTAACATGTACCATCCCATTTACCATTGTAGTGTGTTCTAAATATAAATTATATCAAAGA